GAATAAACCAAAAATTTGCATTTAGGTTCTGCGCAGCCAAAGAGACTGTAGATTTCTGCTCCCTCTCCATTTGCTGCATTACCAAACCCTTCTAAACTGCGAGGGAGTTTCAAAAGTAATTTTTCATGGTTAAAGTTGCACTTTGGATACTGGCCATATTAGCTCATACAAGCATTAAAAAAGTGCTTTTGTTAGTGTCAGAAAGCTTCACTTTTCCACACTATTTCTTTCTTTTCTTTTCTTTTCTTTTCTTTTCTTTTCTTTTCTTTTCTTTCTTTCTTTCTTTCTTTCTTTCTTTCTTTCTCATTAATACTGAGAACTCTAGGGTTGGTGTGAAGATAAAGATGCTGTGGTTGTATGGGGGACTGAGGCGAAAGTTGAGTCCGAATAATCTTAGAGTGAGATGGTATAGTACAAGGGTGTGGCTTTCTTGGACTCTAGAATTATAGCTAGTATTTGTAATTGCTTATAGTTGCTTTTCTATTTCACCTTTCCTCCAGTGTGCTTGAGGCACTTTAAATTCCGCCCTTGGTTGTCAGGGTAGTTTCATGGCTTGGTGGGAACTTGAATCTGCAGATTCAGGGTTCTACTTCAAAATGATGTCCTACTGAATCCCAGTGACTTCCCCCTCCCCTGTTCACCTGTAATTTTGTGGGGAATAACCAAGTAAACTGGGGAGTGTGGGGAATGGGGGGGGGGTGAGAGAAAGAGCAAAGTTTATTTTAAGTGCAAATAGTGAGTGACTTGGGAATAATTTGAATATTTTCATTTCTGTGTTTCTTGAAATCTTAACACCTTTTCCTAAATATGTAATATTAATGCATTAATTATCATATAATATTGGCTGAAGTCCTCTTGCTTAGCATACTAAGTTGCAACTAGAGCAGGCCCATTTGAATCAAATGAATTTACAGGGAATTGACTCAAGAAATTCCCAGTGATTCATTGTGCCTATTGTAGTTGTGATTCACCACAACAGTGGTGTTGTGGATAAAGTGACAGACCAGGACTCAGGAGGCCAGAGTTCAAATCCCCAATTGGCCATGGAAACTCATTGGGAGAGTGGAATTGGTAAAACCACTCCTGAAATATATCATTTACCTTGAAAGCCCTATTAGGGTTACTATAAGTCAGTTCCAACTTGACAGCATGTAACACACACATTGTACTGTGAATTTCTACACTGAGCAATAGGATTTCAGTCACTGGTTCTTTAGTACAGTATTTATTTATATATATATATATATGTATATTAAATACTGTATATATATATCCCACCCAACTAGTCATTGACTACTCTGGGTGTCTGATTCTTCTTGTGCCATTTTCTCCTCTTCTAAGATGTTAAAATCTCCCATCCCTCCCCCCCCCTCCGAGTTCCCATTCACCTTTTTCCAGCAGGGAATATCTGTGCTGACATCTTACATTTGAAAGTTGTTTTCTGCTAAATAGTGCCTGTCTTCTTTAATGTCACTGGTGAGAGTAAATAGATTAAGCTGTACAGTATATATCATCCAAATATGATGCATAAATAACTAACTGTCGAGCTTAATTTTAGTACCTAATAAATTCTTCAAAAGACAGTGCATTTGCAAATTATACTCATTATGACTATTTAATGAGAAGCACAAAAGCTGATTTGTAGAACCCACAATTCTTATTTATGGGATTTTAGTGTGCCTGATACCATAAATTAGAATCCTCATCACTTCTGCCTTTTCAGTTTCCTGCCTTATAACCAGAACTAGAGTTTAAGGGTAGAATTAACAAGCTGGTTTGAAACTGGGGTTCAGGCAGTGGGGTACTAACAATTAGAGAACTAAAATAATTGAGTGAACAGCATTGTCCTTCAACACAGAAACTTCGGTTGAAATTGGTTGTTGTGGGTTTTTTGGGCTCTTTGGCCGTGTTCTGAAGGTTGTTCTTCCTAACGTTTTGCCAGTCTCTGTGACCGGCATCTTCAGAGGACAGCACTGAGGAGAGCACAGAGTGCTGTCCTCTGAAGATGCTGGCCACAGAGACTGGCGAAACGTTAGGAAGAACAACCTTCAGAACACGGCCAAAGAGCCCGAAAAACCCACAACAACCATTAGATCCCGGCTTTGAAAGCCTTCGCGAATACATTGGGTTGAAATTCTTGCTCAACTGCGAGGAATGTTACTATCTCTCATTCAGGTTTCCTGCATGTATAAAACAGGAAAACATACGGCAAATTTCTAAATGATGGGACCTTTTGGTGGGTAGTTAATTCATATGGGACCTTTTGGTGGGTAGTTAATTCATAGGGTTGTCAGAATTTGGAGGCAACTTCACAGCGTGTAATAATGATGGATTAGGAAATGACAGCTAAGCAAGGTTTTAAACCGAAGCCTGCATCTACTAATGCAGCATTGCTCGAACCAAAGTTTGCAAATGTTTTTCTGGCTCACATCTTAAAACTCTGGTTTAAAGCCGAGAAGCATTAATCTTGGCGCATACTTCACAGTTTGTGTGCCTAATGCTAAAAAGAGCAGGGAAGTGCCCTGTTTTCCCGAAAATAAGACCTAACCTGAAAATAAGCCCTAGTATGATTTTTCAGGATGCTCGTAATATAAGCCCTACCCCCCAAAATAAGTCCCAGTTAAGTGAAACCCTGCCCTCCACCCTTGTGCAGCAATCAGAAGAGGATGACATGACTATATTTGCATAAATGTAGACTGTTGTCTGTGAAAAAAATCCCTTGAAAATAAGCCTTAGTGTGTTTTGTGGAGCAAAAATTAATATAAGACCCTGTCATGGGGAAAACACGGTAAAGAGTGGAAGGGAGAATCAAGGACCGATTGGAACATTGCCTGTCACCAAGCCCGACTTTGAAGAAAAACCTCAACATCACTAAATAAATAAATAAACCTTGATCATATTTCTTTGTTTACCTGTATCTATGGGACTGTTAATGTGCATTGTTCTTAGCGTGCCTTTTTCTAACAAAGTAACAAGTCATGACTGCAGTTTTGGTAGCTAGCTAAAAATGCGCTGAAAATAAATTAATATATGATGCTAAATTAATGGTGTGAATTTAAAATTGACAGGTTTCTTTCTTCCCTGGAATTCTCAGGAGGCTTTGGAGAAAATCTAAAGAGGTAAGATGGAACTACATACGTGAACATAGACACATTGTTGTGTGCCTTTGCTTTCAGAAACCCTTTTGCCTCCACCATTCATTTTTGCTAGAATGTTGTTGTTATTTAGTCATTTAGTCGTGGCCGACTCTTCGTGACCCCATGGACCAGAGAGCATGCCAGGCCCTCCTGTTTTCCACTGCCTCCCGGAGTTCGGTCAATTTCATGTTGGTTGCTTCGATGACACTGTCCAACCATCTCATCCTTTGTTGTCCCCTTCTCCTCTTGCCTTCTCTCTTTCTGAATATCAGGATCTTTTCTAGGAAGTCTTCTCTTCTCAAGAGATGGCCAAAGTATTGGAGCCTCAGCTTCAGGATCTGTCCTTCCAGTGAACACTCAGGCTTGATTTCCTTCAGAATGGATAGATTTGTTCTCCTTGAAGTCCAGGGGACTCTCAAGAGCCTCCTCCAGCACCACAATTCAAAAGCATCAGTTCTTCTCAAATGTGGCTTTGTGACCTGTGTGGAAAGCAAACCATGTAGCCTTAAGCCACCTTAGCCAGCAGTTAACCAAGTTCCTCTGGGACTCTTGAGCATCCGCCCCTCAAGTGAAGTTGAAATGTGTCTTTTCTTCCCAGGGTTGCTCCTTTTTGCTTCGTTCTGTCTCACTCAGAACTACCCTCAGAAAAATAAAAGGCTAAATTCTTTTTAGTCCTACATAGAGGAGAACCATGGGAATCAGACAGATACCGTTAGTAGTGACTGGCATAACCCATTTTTCAGCAGGGCTGATGATGGATTCATCCCAGATGGGTAGGTATAAAATGAAATGGCAGTGCCCGATAGGTTGAAGCAGGGGGTAATAGTTACTGAGCAAAATAGAATTGTTTGTTTGTTTGTTTGTTTGT